AAAAAAAAAATAAGTGTGGACTTTTTACCCTCTTATATCCCAGCCATAACAGGAAAGGGATTAATGTAATATAATTGATTGAACTTGCCTTCTTAAAGAACTCTTCTTTTCTTCTCTTGTCAAACAGCTATCAAGATGACTATTGATTGTACGGTCACTGATCATATCGCCACATACAGGACATTCAACTGCAATAACAATAAGTCTATTATTACAAAATCACTGATTATGTTATTATTTTAGTTGATAATATAGAGGTAGTCACTTTCACAGCCTTCCCTTCAGGAAGCTTGAGAAAAGGGTATAGGCTGCAATACTATGGAGACTAACATAGTGGCAGATACAAGTACAGTGTACATGTATGTAATATAATTCAGACATTTATTCATCCAATAATCATTGTCAGACTACTAAAAAAACATCTTGCCACTTCAAGGGACACTTAAACTACAAATGCATATCTTTCTTAGTTCCTATCTCATTTAATTAATTCAATTACTAATATTCTATTATATATAATTTTATCTATTGTATATGTATTTAATCTATATTGTTTTACTTAGTGTAATGTAGAGTAGTATAGTTTTTACGGAGGAAGAGCCACCCTGTGGATTTCGTAATAAACCATTATTATTATTATTATTATTATTATTATTATTATTATTATTATTATTATAAAATACAAGGTCTTGATTAACGAGCTGAGCAGCAATTATACGCGAGTTAAATTTATTAACCTATCTATGAGTTCTCTGGGCATTTTTTCAAATGAATGCTCCACCTTTCTGGAAATGTTAAATGACATTGGGATGGACAAAACACAACGTCGCTATATTATAAGGAAAATGATCAATCTTGCTATTAGAACAACCTACTATATTTTTTGTTGTAGAAATAAGACATGGGATAGCCCTGAATTATTGAAATACTAACATTTTTTTAAATGTTTGTTTGTTTTAGTTTGATTTCAGTATTTGTAAATTCATTTATATACATATATCATATATATATTTTTTTTATCAATTCAAGTAGCCAGTTGTAAATTGCCTATACGTAGTGAGATTTTCAACTGTATGAATCTATAAACAAATAAAGTTTCCATTATTATTATTATTATTATTATTATTATTATTATTGTCCTTCACTTTTAAGTTCATTAAACTAGTTCATTTTTTTTTATTGCCCATTCATTCACTCATCTACATGTACATGTATCTAGCCATCCATCTAATTGAACTATTCATTCATATTCCCTTCCTTCCATTTATTCATTCTATCAATTCAATTTCCCCATAATTCATTACTCTGAAATATAGTCTAAACAACTAACCAAAAGATGAAGCACTTTCAGGTTGGTTTCCTGATGAACTGCTAGCATTGCTTGACACATTGTCATTGGGTAATGTAGATAGTCCAGGCTTTGYTGCAGAAKTYGATGATTCTTTCTTRMYRGATRCATTAACAGGTTGGTATGTCTCTGTATCATCACTGTCTGATTCTATAATTTTCTGTCTTTTTCTCTTATTTCTAGGTGTTGCATTAACCCTTGGGGATTTTCCCTTGCCATGCTTCTTTCTACGTCGGAAGTTCTTTCCACTTGGAGTCTTCTCAAATATACTGTCGCTATCATCTGATATTTCATTTTTTCTATCCTCTTGGATWCCAGTTTTGTTTGCAAGGAGGGCAATCAACTTTGACCTATGAAAAAAATAGTGTACACAGAGGTTACAAATGGCTGTTTTGATCTGATAAAAACACTTACATTGTAGACAAAGGAATTGCCTCAACAGTTAAAGGCCATTAAGGAAAATATGATTGAATAGATGAACAAATGCCTTAATGAATAAATGCATGAATGGATGAAGAACATTTCTGTACATACCTCATTTTGACAAAATTTAAAACTAATTCATCCAAAACTCGGTTACTTTTCAAGTCATTTCCAGAAACTTTCTGCAACAGTCAAGAAAAAAATATGATTGATATCAGTTAAAGTTTCCTGAAATTGCTGTGTGTTGTCCATCTAAAGAACTGATCATAACTAGATGCATTTTGCTCAGAATTACAAAATCTGAGTAAAAGTACCAACTCTGATCTGATCAATCTAGTACTGGATTTTACTTACCACTGAACAAGTAGGGCATTGTGTTTTATGGTTTATTGACTGTCTGATACAAAGTGAACAATCTAAAAAGAAAAAGAAAAACATTAGACAAACTTCATCAAACTATCACCAAGTAATTGGTTGACTTTAAAGTTCAGTCTCATTTGCAGGCAGATTCCTATTTTAGTATACCCACTAAACAGCTGTGAAGGACAACATATGCATTGTTGAATTAATTGCAAATAAAAATAACAGYGATTTCCTGGCCAACCTATGTAAATCTCTGTCAAACATGGTATTTCCCAGTGGAAGCAAAGCCTGTTGCAACATCTGTTACCTAATTGGTCAGATTGCTAAGCTATATGCAATACAAGTCCTGTCCAATCAGATTCGCAGAAATTGCAATGGACTTTTATTCAACTTTATTAAGATTTATTAACTGTTAACTTAAGTCCTAAAAATTAAAGCTTTAGAATATATCAAATATTTTAGAGCTTACAATTATGAGAGCATTCCTGTATCAACATCGCGACATCGAAAAACTCTTTGCAGATGGAACATCTCAAAAGATTGTCGATATTCTAGATAAAATAGAAATTAAAAATAGTTACATTTTGCCATAAACATTTTACAATGTTACGTTACATAACTTTTCCACTAGCAGTGTGATTTTGAACTTCAGAAAGTAMACTTTACCCGCATTTCTTGCAGCGATTCTGGCCATTCATTAGGACTTGTGATTTCACCAAGTGAAGGAAGCATCATTCTAGCTTCAAGTACTACTATAATTGGACTAAATATGGACAAAAATAGAGAGAATTCATGACAGAATTTACTACAACGGATCTCAATACCACGAAAAACGCGGGTACAAACTAAAGCCATGTGATTGGTGCATTGTTTTGGAAATTATGATTGGCTATTGAAATTTACAMTCTCTTATCCAATCAAAAGTGTTGTTGTATATCGAAAGTTGCGTCATAGGGACAACGTGCGAACGTAAAGATGGAGGAATACGCTAGAGAACCTTGGTAARAAGTCGATTATTTTCCCATAAAGGACTTAAATAATTTCAAGTTTGAATATCCAAGRGAAGGAGCAGGCATTTATGTTTTATTTTGTGTGTTTTCAGTCCGTATCGTATCGTGGATGACTGCGGAGGCGCATTTGCAATGGGAGCTATTGGKGGTGGAATTTTCTCMCTTGTCAAAGGATGGAGGAACTCGCCGGTTGTAAGTAGACTTTTTGTTGCAAAAATTAAGTTTTTCTTGTACATAATCTCAATGAAGATAAGCWGTGTTTTGACCTAGTCGCATTTGTTCTGTAGGGCAACTTTATAAGCAAAAAYATGCTGATCTAAAACTATAAACTTGGTATCATCATAATATTGCATGCATTAAGTTTTAAGCTTATTCTTTTTTGAACATTTTTGTGATTTGATAAAACATGCTTTAGAAATCATTTTAATTATATAGATCTTAAATCAGATCATTTTCATTAAATTTCGGCTGATGAACCGGGAAAAAAATCACCACTACCCTCTCTTAGCTCATAAATATGTTTATGATCTCATTATTATGCAACTTCATTTTAGGGTCATAGATTGTATGGTAGTATAGCTGCAGTCAAGACAAGGGCACCWGTATTAGGGGGTGAGTCAGACCTTGACTTCGCTACAGACGTTCCATTTACGCCACTTGGAATTCATGTTCATGGACATGCCATGTCTGCTAAAAGTATTATATTCTTGATACTAAATRCATTGCATATTTCAGGTAATTTTGCAGTCTGGGGTGGATTATTTTCAACATTCGACTGTTGTTTAATGGGATTACGAGGCAAAGAGGATCCATGGAATTCAATTGGCAGTGGTGCTATTACAGGCGCCGTTTTAGCAGCTAGAGGTATTGTATACTACTTTGAATTCAGATTTGAAAATCAGTCAATTAATTATACATTATTTATTGATCTTCCCATGCCTTGTTTCATTATTTAGGTGGTCCATCGGCAGCTGTAAGATCAGCAGCTATTGGTGCAGTATTACTAGCTTTAATAGAAGGTATAGGAATATGTATTACAAGAATGACAGCCGATCAATTTAAACAAGGTACGTTCAATACTGGTATTTGAATTTAAGTATAAATTCAGCATTTTCCAAAAACCAAATTGCATGTATGGTATGTCACAAAGTATTTAATAGAATAATTGAATTTGTGCATCATACTTTGGAGTCAGGACTCTGTCTGTTATCACTAGAGCTTCAAAGGCAAGGGAAAACTATACTCAAGTAGAATGCCTRATAATTATATTTCTCTATTGAATTGAACATATTGTAATTCTAGAACTCAACYTTAATTATAGCTCGCGCTTATTTTTTGTTTTTGTAAGYGCTCGAGGATAATGTTGTTTACRCCATATCGTGCGTGGATTTGTAACGTTTTTTAGTGTTGACTCCATTAACCCTGATGATGGGCCTAAGGCCCGAAAGCTTGGTAATAAAATAACTTATTGGTTGATGAAACAAGATCAATGATATGTCTAARCCAACCAACAAACAAATATTTGATATACTCAAGTATTTTAATTTTTACCAACAGTTATGCCACAACCTCCTGATCCAATGCAACTTCCTCCAAAGCYCATCACTCCAGCACCCCAACCATTACCATCATCAGAGTTTGACCAACAGCCACAATACCAATAAACAGAACTCATGTCAGATTTAACAGCTTGYTGTACATTAGATGTAGAAAGAGCAGAAAACTATACTTTTCTGTAAACTAAGTTTTATATGATTTTAAAGTTGGACAAGAAATTCAAGTTCACTTCAAAATCTTCATGCTGTGGATGGATGAAGATGAATGTACATGTACAATAAATGAGACATTGTTTGGTAGAAGTCTTATGGAAAGGAAGTTGGAAGAAATTGGAAGTGACATATACAATATAAGGGATACTGACAATGATTCTGTAACAAATGAAGAGTATAGATGTTGTACTTATATTACAATATGTCTCTTTTGGCCATTATCACATCCAGACAATTATGGTTTCTAGTCCGATTTCTTTTTGGGCTTGGCAAACTGCTTTCTTGGTGACCAGAAATTGTCAACAACTTTTCACAAGGACAAATTGGAATGCAATTTTGATTGCAAGGGCTTCATCAGTACTTACTAACAATTAATATTGTTATTAACCTGTTTACTTTATTTGTTTTTCAAATAACACTTGCTTTATTATGCAAAGTAAATGTAAAAAAAATATCACAACTGTACATGTATATTACATATTGGTCTTTATTATTGTAAAACTAGCAATTGGTTAATTTATATTATTAAATCATTTAAGTGCTTGATTGTGTTA